AAAAAAGCAACAGAATACCAATCAAGAAGGGTGTAAGGCAGGGGGACACAATCTCCCCAATGCTATTTACCGCGTGCTTACAGGAGGTTTTCAGAAGCCTAGAATGGGAACAGTTAGGGATAAGAGTTAATGGAGAGTACCTTGGTAACCTGCGCTTCGCCAATGACATTGCATTGAGTAACTCAGGGGACGAATCGCAACTCACCTTCCTTCAGCCTCAGAGCACAATTACTCGATCACAGAATGGGAGTGCCTATCCTTTGTCTGGGCCATCCCCAAGTTGACTAATATGTGGGGTTTAACGTCCCAAAACCACCATATGATTCTGAAAGACGCCGTAGTGGAGGGCTCCGGAAATTTTGACCACCTGGAGTTCTTTCACCACGTGCTTTCAGGAGGTTTGCAGAGGCCTAGAATGGGAACAGTTAGGGATAAGAGTTAATAGAGAGTACATTAGTAACCTGCACTTCTCCAAAGTCATTGCATTGCTAACTAACTCAGGGTACGAATTGCAACTCATGATTACGGAGTTAGACAAGGAGAGCAGAAAGGCGGGTCTTAAGATTAATCTGCAGAAAACGAAAGTAATGTACAATAACCTCGAAAAAGAGCAGCGCTTCGAGATAGGTAATAGTGCACTTCAAGTTGTAAAAGACTATGCCTACTTAGGGCAGGTAATAACCACAGAGCCAAACCACAAGATTGAAGTAACTAGAAGAATAAGATTGGGGTGGAGCACATTTGGCAAGCACTCTCAAATTATGACAGGTAGACTGCCACTATCCCCCAAGAGAAAGGTATATAACGTATCTTTCTGGTACGTAGCTACGGAGCAGAAACCTGGAGACTTACAAAGAGGGTTCAGCCTAAATTGAGGACGACGCAACGAGCAATGGAAAGAAAAATGGTAGGTGTAATCTTAAGAGACAAGAAGAGGGCAGAGTGGATTAGGGAACAAACGGGGGTTAAGGATATCATAGCTGAAATCAAGAAGGGGAAATGGACATGGGCCGGGCATGTAGTGCGTAGACAGGATAACCGCTGGTCATTAAGGGTAACTAACTGGATTCCCAGAGAAGGCAAGCGGGTAAGGGGGAGACAAAAGGTTAGGTGGGCAGATGAGATTAAGAAGTTTGCGGGTATGAATTGGCAGCAACAAGCACAGGACCGGGTTAACTGGCGGAACATAGGAGAGGCCTTTGCCCTGCAGTGGATGTAGTCAGGCTGATGATGATGAAATATTTTTTTATAAAATTTTGAAAGGATTGCCATAGCAAGGCATTGTCATCTCATCAGCTAGTGTTGTTCTCTTTTTTTTTTTGGTCAGCTCGGGAATTTTATAATGTATAGCAGAATTTTTTAAAATCCTGTGAACAGCCAATTGAAGATAGTTTTTTGTCGTAAGAGAGATCAATCATGAAAGTTATTTTTTTGTTGTTGCTGTTTTAAGTAATAAAGGCAATTAGACTGAAACATCCTCGTTTTAGTCATGTCATGCGAGCTACTAGTTCAATTGAGCCAGAACTGATGTTAGCCAAACAATAAGAAAAAACGAGGCAACTCATGCACATGTTTTAATGGTATTCTCTAGGCCACAGACAGCTGAAGGCAGTCATAAACCACCCCTTGGACTAGGCAAAAAAACACATCCTACAGAAAGCAGTTACTGCTATGAACAGCTCAGCCAGATCTTGCAGTCGTGCATGGCAAATAGAGTTTAGTAGTGGAATGCGCGGTTGCCATTTCTTAGGCACTCACTTTCTGTACCGAAGCCTGTCTTCAGTTTTAATGAAGCTGCCAGCGTTCAGATGTCATCTCCTGTCTTCTTTTGTGTCTGTGTTTCCTGTGCTGCAAATTGTTCTTATGTACAACTAAGAGGGGACCGAATCGGCACAATTCTAAAATTACTGTTACTCCCAATTGTTTTTGATGAACTTTTGAAATTTTTGTGACTATGAATTCACGAGGCAATAAATTCGGGTTCTGACTTGATTGAATAATCCCTTGAAGATATGCTTCAGGAAACCTTTAATAATGTATGAGTTGCAAGCCAGTGATGTGTTTTATTTTTTTATTTTTTTTTCCCATGTTCCTCCTGTGCCATTTTATACCTTATGTTATGATTGTCACTAAGTACCGTTCCAACCCTCAGGATGACTTTTCTCCTTCAGATCATGTAGGCATTATAGAACCTCCTGACAAATCTTGTGCATTGTTAAGAAGGCTGCAGACAGCTAAAATTGCATGAGCTTCACTTGTGGTTATACCTGCACCGCTGCTGCTGTGCAGTATTTCAATTGCTGGTGCGTGCCTCCACAACCATCATCTTCTTTCATCTGATGGTTGTGTTCCATGCCTAATCTGCGCACATCATTTTCCTAATGCAATTCATGTGCAAGGTATATTTTTTTTTCAAGACAGAGCAGACCTTTTTTAATAAAAAAGTTATGACATTCAAGCACTTTTGCTTCTCACATGAACTCTACATCGAGGCAAAAATACTTTGTCGCAGCTAAAGGTACAATAAAATTATTAATATAACAAAACTTGTCATTTAATTTTTTAAATTATTACCTTCAGGACAGTTGTGTGTATCAAAAAGTTGTAAGACATAAGAATTTATGGCAGACGATTTTTTAGAAGTCCAAAAAAACAATTTTAATGTGGGATATAAATATGAATTCTAAGCCCAATCCAGGCAGTATTGAAACCAGCTGCGCAGGAAATGCAACTCCTGTGTTACGTCAGACTGGAGCTCCATGCAACGAACTTTGAAAAAAGGCACGTTGCAGTACAATCTGGTCAATAAAATAGCAAGTCATATCAAATATAGAAATGGACCACCTATTCTTTGCATTTGGCGTGGTGCTTCTCAGTTTCTTTCCTAAACTCTAAATGTGTTCGCTTGTCTGCAAGAAGCACCACAGTGGCTTCTCTCTAGTTTTGCACTCTGCAGTGAAGACAAAAAACAGAGGCATAAATTGAATTTTTCTTGGGTACAGCACATTAGAACTGGATATGCATGAAACATAACATGCAAAGACAAGAATAAGAGGTCCATTTCTGTCATTAGGACATGCTGCCATAATTCCTGGCCAAATTCTGTGGTGATGTGCCTTTTTTCAAAGTTTGTCACGTGGAGGTCTGGTCTGGTGTAACAAATGGGTCACATTTCCTGAGAAACCAGTTTCGATACAGCTGGGGTTGGGGCCTTGAATTTTCATCAGCAGTATCTCAAATTACATGTGTTTTTCAGAACTTTTATAAAATGGTCTGCCAAAAATTATAGGGTGCTATTACTTTTTCATGTAAACAACTGCTGCCAAGTTAATAAATAAATAGGGTAATTAACAAGTGTTTGTTAATTAATTGTTGCCACATATAAAAATGAGATAATTACAAGTATTTGTTAATTTATTGTTGCAATGCTCTTTTAGGTACAGCAAAGTATTTCTGCAATGATATAGAGCTTGTGTGTGAGGATGACAGATGCCTGACTGTCATAGCATTTTTTTTTTATTGATTTATATGTGGGGTTTAACGTCCCAAAACCACTATATGATTATGAGAGACGCCGTAGTGGAGGGCTCCGGAAATTTCGACCACCTGGGGTTCTTTAACACGTACCCAAATCCGAGTACACGAGCCTACAACATATCCGCCTCCATCGGAAATGCAGCCGCCGCAGCCGGGATTCGAACCCGCGACGTGCGGGTCAGCAGCCGAGTACCTTAGCCACTAGACCACTGCGGCGGGGCCATAGCATTTTTTTTTTTATATCTATACTGCATAAAAAGAAATGCCCTATATGAGGTTGATTTCTGATAGTCATTCGATTGCTTTGACATTGAACTTAAGCCACCTGATAGGGATGCACAGACAACAGGAACGTGACACCAAAGGAAGTGAAAATGATACTGAAAGAAGTGAAAGAGAGCGGGAGAAATGGACCATTTTTTAACCTATAGGATGCACAGAGTGCTCTCTTCTTTCGTGCACTGTGTGTTTGCTCTGAGCCTGGTTTGCACAATCAAGTGTGAGCTCCGTAAGGAAGGACCTCTGCAGCAATGACTACCCTTCAAAGCTCTTGAGGACTGAACTATTATGGTCTTCAGGTGCTTACCCTGAAGACGTTCGTGTAGACGACAGGCCAAAATGTGCTGTTGTCCCTTACGTGCAAGGCGTCAGTGAGGCACTTGCAAGAATGTTTGGCACTTACGGCATTAAAATCGCACGTGTTTCGACCGACAAACTAAAGCAGAAGTTTCTATGCCTGAAAGATCATTTCGAAAGCTCAAAATTTCCAGGGTTTATCTACAAGATGCCGTGTAGAGATAGTGACACATACTACTTAGTTGGAACTTGGAATTTAAAAAGAAGGATACAGCAGTACCAGAAGAACATTATGAAAGGCAATGCAAGTTTGAAGGCCTTGGTGGGTCTTCACCGAAACAGTAATTACATCATCGACTGGGAATCTGCAAGCATAATTTTGACAGATAAGCACCTGTCGACACGGCTAATTATAGAATTGCTGCACATTCAAATGACTCAAAATGTGATTAGCCAGAAGTGGGGTAATCTCCCAAAGATATACATGCGCACTTTGTACCACCCAACGCATAAATAGTCACGCCCTCTTGCATGCTCTTCATTGTGAACAAGGGACCCAGAGTGGCCCGAAACGTACTTATATATTTGTTTTTATTTGGACAAGGCGAGTGCATGTTTTATTTTTTCAATGAACTCTCATTGTGTGATGAGTTTACCTTGAACCTTTGGCTATTGTTAAGTATGTTTTACAGTGAATGAGACAAAAAACATTTTGGCTACAAAAGTGAGAAAATGGTAAAGGTAAAGGCTATTTTTTCTTCATTTTTTTACCGGCAGCATATATAACACTCCCCGAAATGTATTTTTAGGTATGCCACTGCTGAAGAAAATTAGCACTGTAGCACTGTATGTTTTTAGTTGAACTATTTCTCATTCTTCTTGTCCAGGCAATGCGACAGTGTCCACCTGCCATAGCCGCTCCCGTCCATCTGACCTGAGAGCATTGGCCCAAACGGCTGACATTGTGATCACAGCCACTGGTGTGCCAGGCCTTATTACTGCTGATATGATCAAGAATGGAGCCTGCGTGATTGATGTTGGCATTACAAGGGTATTTGATGAAGCCTCAGGCAAGACAAGGCTCGTTGGAGATGTAGACTTTATTGGTAATCACAGGTTTTATTATTTTTAAGACTGCTTTTCAATTCAAGCTAACGGCTTCTCACATTTTCCTCGTCTTACATTGCCACCTGAGATGCTGCTTGGGCAGCAGTTTGGCTGCGTAACTATAGTGTACTAGACAAGCACAAAGCCAAGAAGTGCCCCCCCCCCCCCCCCCCCTGGTGGCACAATGGGCACAATGCCATTATGCCTGGGAGGAGGTGGGAGGGTGCCACCTTGGTTTTGGGAAGGGCACGCCCTTGAAATGGCCATTTTTCGCTCTCTTGCCATGGCGAAAAAACAAATTGGGGGGGGGGGTGGAGGGCACGTGCCCTGTGTGCCACCCTCGGGCTACGCCTCTGGTACTGCACAGAGGCAGTGTGTCATACAGCGTGGAAAGCATGGGTATTTTTGTGATGTTGGCCTGCGCTGCCGCAGCTCACCGTACTACTGCGTTGCTACCTGTCGGCACAGTATGAAGTAATATATAAAAAGCTGAGTTACAAAGCCTCCGAGATTGGTAGCTGTAGTTGGTCGTTGGTCATCTGTGTGCAAAGGACTCGTCGATTGTCATTGTATGTCTCTCATAATACATAGGTGACTTTTAGCGTGTGCATGGAAGACTCCGTGTTTGCAAAAGCCTGATGCATAGCAGTTCTTGTAGACCAACAGGAATTCAGGGGTTTATTCACATAAACTATATCCTTCACCCTGAGTACTTTACAGAGAATTAATAGTTACCTTCTTTGACATTGGCGTCCCCTTGATGGGTAAAATGTGTAAAGAAATAGAGCATCATTGGTCGTTATTATTTTTTGAAACATTGCGGCTACTTTCTCTCCTGGCTCATGCAGGCAAGTGGTTGTCGTGGAACTCACCCGATGATAATGTTATCCTTCAGGACTTCCACGTTTGTTTCATCACATGACTTCAAGTTAGTGTGATAGCTTGGCAGGGGTACATATGGATCAAATAAATAGCGATGTGCTTTTTTATGCTTCTTGAAAGCAAAACAGTAAACAAGCAGATGATCTGGGTTGTTGTTCTGCGACAGGAATCGTGCGAGCTCGGACTACGCAGATGCAGCATTATTTATTTCATCAATGCATCGCATCTATGTGATTTGGATTTCTTTTAATCTTGCAGATACTTTGAATTTTAATCATGTGGTGTGACTATTTTACTCAAAAACTGCAAAAAGTTTCGCAGTGAAAATTTATATTGTGCACGCCGGCACATCGTTCGATGGTGGGCCCTACTGGTGGCTTCATTGCAAAAGCGACCACCGCTCTCCCATTGATTTGCTGTGAAGACGGCACACTGCCCCATTCCAGTTCACCATAGCGTAACCATCAAGGTTGATTGATAGCTGGAGCCTTGTTGAGCATTTATATCTGGTATGTAGTAATTTTTGCAGTAGGCACTACATGTCTTTGTGGTTGCACTACAGCTACAAAAAGCCAATTTTTAGAGCCATTATGCCATTCACCCTGTCGGAGTGTTGTGCATTCCTGCTTTGAGAAGTATTTGCACTTTTGTGAATTAAAAATATGACAGTGGCTTATTTTTGCAGTTTTGGTGGCGCATACTTGCTTTTCCCTAACATTTTTTTTTTTTGTGGCTTGATCTTTCATTGTTCGGTGAGAACACATTACTATGGTTTCAAGAGGACGCTCTTCTGCCTCCTTGGCAAGCTACTGTACTGCTAAAAGAACAACAAATACACTCTCTTTCAATGTCTCATTCTTTCAAATGCCCCTCTGTTTACATCATCCTGTCAATACCTAGTGAGCACTGAGTAACAAGTGTCATTTCACCCTCTCTACTGATGCTAAAAGAGCAGTGATGCAGACACAGAGACTTCCCAACTGCTAATATAGAAAATAATGTAGCATTGCTCTTCCCAAACATTGTTCTTTCCAAGTCCTACTAACATCCTAAAACTTGCTTCATTTCTACATAAATATTGAGCAAGCCATGTCCCATCATCACACGCTTACCGCTGAGCACTACATGTAGCAGCCTTCTTTTTTTTTTTTTTTAACTGCCACAAAGAGACATGCATCACCAGATAGTACAAGCGTACAGCAACTGCATGTATAATATGACCATCATCTCATTTGTGCTCTTGGAGCATCAGAGTTATTGCACCTCCTAGTTGGATTCTACTGCCGCTGAAATCTTGCCTTGCAGCACTGCCGTGCCTGACAACTATACTTAGCGACAACTTTCTGTGGCAGCACGGCCAAAGCTTTGTGGGCGGAGCTTACGCACATTTGTTACCACGCCAAGTAGTTCGTTTGCAGGTGATTTAGCTTTCGGTTTTGCAAGCACATTCAACATGTACTACTTAAGTTTTTGCACGAATACCATACAATAAAGCTTACATTTTTTGGGAAGAAATCAATAATAAAATCTCATTTTTTAAAGAAAAGAACAGGAAGCTTTAAGAAAGAGTTCAGGTTCATTTTAGAAAAAAAAAAAGGCACCCAAATGCAGGAACTGGGCGATTGGAAAACCAATGCAAAGAGAAGAATCTATTTCCTAAATTTCAGTGCATACTGGGCCGGCATCATTGTTTTCCTTTATTTGAAAACGTGAGAGCATCCCGGAGATGCTCACTTTATCTTTTTAGGTGACACGAAGCCATTGATGGGTAGCAGAAATCTTGGCCACGACCAGTCATGAGCGGGTGTCTGACCAAGTAAATCCAAGTGGATGAAACGCAATCTTTACTTGGCCAAGAACGCCGTTTTTGCACGGTCAGCAGCAAAATATACATGAATACGTCTATTGCCTGGTGAAGCTTTGCACTGGTAATATTACCATCGTAAATCGCTGTCATTGCAAAGAGCAAAGAACCACTCCCTCCATAGACGCCAACGGGTGTGGTGTCAGTGTGATCGTAAACAATATTACGTAACTAAAATGCTGATCACATATGCAACGCAATCTAGGAAAAGGGTCATTGCTTTTAGGTACAGTTTCCAGTGGTGCTTTTGCTTCTAAGCAGCTGATGGTGCTGAAGACTGGCAGGTTGCCGTTGTCACTTTCAAAGTGGTTATAGTGATTAGAGTCTCACTTTCACTGATGATATCATTCACACACATCTTTCTCGGGAAATAAAATGTGGGAAACAAAATATTTCCCGACGCACCACTGTCTTCGTTTCTCTCTGCTCGATGAACACAGATAACCTAATCAACACACACTCGCAAGCTTCGATCTGAACATGCTGTAACCGAGCGACCCTATTGCTGCTTACCGGAGCAGGAAAAAGGTGAAATGACACCAGAAAACCGGAAAACTAGAAACAGCAAAAAAACGAAAATTCTGCATGGTGTAAGCTTCCTAATAACAATGCGAACAATTTCGAACGTAATATGTATATTTTGTCTTTTTATATTTTCTTTTATGCTACGCAGTATATAAAAGTTAGCGTTCGTGGACTACATGCAGAAGTGTCGTGAAAAAGGGCGTGCTTGGGCTTGATAGCCTTGGCTGTGCCGCTCCAAAAAGTTGTCACCGAGTATAGAGTCATTTGTATGTATCACGAAGTCACTTTGATTTGGGCTTGGACAGTCTTAAAGACAAGTTCATCAATCTTTACTTAAACATAAGTCTTTGAACTGTACGTAGTATTTATAGCTTTGCTTTGTATTTTGTTTTTTAGTGATTGGCCATTCCCTTCCCATGTTTCTGCTGTCTAACTCTTTTCATTACAAATGACAGAGGCCACCAACATGCTCACATGTACACATGTAGGCAGTACAAAAGAAGTGCACCAACTTTCATGACACGCAATACACAGACACAACCAAATAGAAGGACAAAGACATCCATGCCATCAATATCAGGAATTACACCCTCATTTTTTATATAATATGGCTCGTACACAAACACAGACACTAAAAAAAAGAGAGAGAGAAAAGAAAAAAAAAAGCGGAAACATATGTGTGCTGTGTTGTTTCTGTATTTTTTCTCATTCCTGTGTTTTTGTGCACCAGTGGCGTTGCAGGGTGTGGCACACCAGGCTTGTGCCCCCTCCCCTCCTCCCCAGGATTTTTTTTTCGCAATGGCATACAGAGCACAAAATGACTATCTGCATGCTCAGCCCTCACTTCAGCTCAAAAGACGCCCCCCCCCTCCCCCAAACATTACCTCTGCCTACGCCCCTGGCATGCGCATCATATTTCATCAAAAATGAAGAAGTACCACCTAGCCGAATTATCCATGCAACTACACCCTCCGTGAAATCACCATGGCAACGGTACAACACAAAGACACCAAAGGTGTTGAGGGGGCGTCCATAGTCATGAACCCCTGTTGAGAACATTTAACAATATTGTTGAACCCCTCACTGAGCCCCACACTGAGAACTTTTGACAAGGAGAGTTTGGAACTGATCCCAAAATAATTTCACTCCATACTTCAACACCACAGACTGCAGTGCATGAAATATTCACTCATCACATCACTAGCTCATGTGAACCCAAGCAGTCACTGGTGGGCAGCTACAGAAAAACACCATTCCATTTTGCTCACTGTACTAGTTAAAGGGGTACTGACACAAAATTTTGGGGCCAAGATAGCCTGCGGAGTCGATTTTCGTGAACATTCGTATATCATCTGCAAGATATCAACAGCGAATATAGCTTGGAAGGTATTCTAAATTAATTTTGAAGTTTGCGTGAGCGATCATCTCCATAGTGCTATAGACACCCTCGAGGTGATCCCCTACTTCCCTCACGTCACCACGCTACGGTCAACAAAACAAGTTATGATGACATCATAGCCGCCATTTTTCTTTTGCCGCGTTAGTTCCCGAAGTTTATATTTCTCGGCGGCTGATTGAGAGTGTGTGGCCATAGCGCACGCTTAGAAAGTTATGTGTTTGGCGACATTCCAGTCCCGTTTCTTATTCGAAGGTAATTCTTGATGCAGACCGTGCGGAAGTGCGTCACAGTTTCGTGTGCTGACGTGGTCAACAGCTGAACACGCTAGG